ACTTTTTGATAAGAACGTTATTGTTTTTTAACGACAATTATTGTTGTGAGATCCCATCTCGGTTGGAGAGGAGAACGAAACATTTTAAAACCATGCGGTTGACGTCTGTACATAACGAGTTAAAACGGACAATATTTGTTAGCGATGAGCTTGGACTGTTAAAATTGTCATCTTGTCGCCCTTTCTCTTCGTGTATCAAATGATAATGGCGTTTTAAAATCGTGAGGCCATGGACTAAAACGGGTAATATTTGCTAGCGGTGGATTTGGACAGTTACAATTGTCATTTTGTCACCCTTTCTCTTCGAGGCTCAAACGATAATGTATGAAAAGAAATCATAAAACCAGACTTGATATGTGAACGACTCAAATTTAATGAAGATAGATTTGTTATTATTTCTTGTTATAAATATACGATCTTTGTCCTTTGCGACCGACATGCTAAACTTTAATCATACTCTCGGCATTCTTCTTAAGTAGAGGACAATCTAGTCGTCTAGTCGTCTTTCAAGTAGTTATCATTCACCCACTCTCTACCCTATTAAAGATTTGTTCATATTTCCATTTTTATGTCCATACATAAGCAATAATATTAAAGGGTGTGTATATGACCCATGAATTCGACTAACTCGGACTACCCAACCTAAATCAGAAAGGTCGGGGTTGGGTTAGATTTTTTTTCCGATGTGGGTTGGATTAAATTTTTTGACAATTGAAAATTTGAGTCGGTTTGCAGGTTAACATTTTTTTATCGGGTCAACCCGACCAACCAGAATATAGAGTTACAACCAACACTATTCTACCCTATTATAAAGATCATTAAGAAAATTTGACGTTGGTAACCAATGTTGATAATGCACGGTGACTTATAAATATTTGATATTTGAATTTTATGAGATTCTAATTATTAATATGATACGATACTGTGGATAAATATGATTTTTTTTAAAAAGAATCATACGACAACCCAACTTAAGAATAGAGTGTTGGGTTGAGTTGTGAATGTTAGACGAACACGACTCTCCACAATGATATGATATTGTCTCCCTTGAGCATAAGCTCTCATGGCTTTGCTTTGAGCATAAGCTCTCATGGCTTTGCTTTGAGCATAAGCACATTGGCTAATTTAGGAAATGATCATAAGTTTGTAAACAAAGAATACTCTCTCCATTGGTACGAAGCCTTTTGGGGGAAACCCAAAGTCATGAGAGCTTATGCTCAAAGTGGATAATATCATACCATTGTGGAGAGTCGTGTTCGTCTAACATAGTATCAGAGCTATGCTCTAAACTTAGTCGTGCCAATAGATTGGTAAATCCTCAAATGTCGAACAAAGGACTCCAAAAGAAAAGGAGTCGAGCCTCGATTAAGGGGAGACGTACTTTGTTCGAGGGGAGGTGTTGGATGATGTAAGTCCCACATCGACTAATTTAGAGAATGATCATGAATTTATAAACAAAGAATACTCTCTCCATTGGTATAAGGTCTTTTGGGGAAGCCCAAAACAAAGCCATGAGAGCTTATACTTAAAGTGGACAATATCATACCATTGTGGAGAGTCGTGTTCAATTACCAATCATTGATGTTGGAACCCGAAGCAGATTGCCATTGATAAGTAGAAAGAAAGTGAGGATGACAAGTCATCATGTCCCTTAGGCCATGGGCGACACACATGCTACGATGGTTGACACAAAAGGTTGTGATCGAGTCAGAGTGAGCTAACTCTAACAACTTTCTCTATTAACAAGTGATACTATTATAATATGATCGTCTCTTGGTAATCAACTTGAGTTAAAAAAAAATAATAATAATAATATTTTATATAAATTTTGATGTATTTTGTAACAGTCTCATTGAATAATTTTTCTTTAAGGCATAGTCCAATCTAACTAACTATATGTGACAGAACCATCCCATGTAAAATTACGAAATATAAAAATGGTATGAAACATATTAAGAACATCGCTATAATTAAAAGAAAATCGAAGAAGAAACGACCAAAATTCTTCGTCATTTGCTTTCATTTTCACATTCTCTAGCAAAATGTCCTGTTTCTCCACAATTATAACAACTGCCCCCGCCAAATTCCCGACCGCCGCCGTATCCACGACCCCGTCCACGGTTGGGAGGTGCACGGCCATTTCCCTGGTAACAATCCCTAGCTAAATGACCCATCCGACCACAATTGTAACACTCTCCTCTGCCAAAATCACCATAACCTCCTCGCCCGCCGGACTGGCCAGAACCGGTGCCTCTATCTCTCCCACCGCCACGGCCACCTCCGAACCCACTAGTTCTACCAATTACAGTAACGTCAACGGCCTTGGCACGGTGATCTTGGCCATAATCGATGGAAAATTCAACCGCCTGACCATCGAAAAGGGTCCGAAATCCGTCGGACAAAATGGAGGTGTGGTGCACAAAAAGGTCCTCGCCGGAATCATGTGGAGCTATGAAGCCAAACCCCTTCTGCGCACTGAACCACTTCACGGTTCCCGTCGATTTCTTCACCTCCGCCATGGAAAAAGAAACAGAGACAATACCCAAAAGTTTCCAGCAATGTATATCTCTCCGAAACAGAGATTCCAGGAAAAAAGGAGAATTCGGGTGACGTGGAATCCAATGATTGGATGGTTATGTCAGCTCTCTTCACACTTATCCACTGAACTTCTGACACGTCATCAAATTAGATAAACCAAGTTAACTGTAAACGAACACGTCATCCAAAAAATATTAATTATTATTACGGTGACAAAATGAGAAGGATATATTTATTTATATCACTGTTAAAAATAATTAAAAATTTTAAAATATAATCTCATACTAAATATTTTACATAAATAAACTACGAACAAACTTAATCCAAGAAATTTACGATTGGATTGAGTTGAGTTCATTATTTAATAAGGATTGTTCGGATTAAAATTTTACAACATAAATAATTGATTGTGTCTAAAAAATGTCTCGACGACTCAACACAACCTATAAACACTACCGAGTGCCATTAAAATATCTATTTAATAGTTATTATTATTATTTTGTCTCATTCAATTTTAAGAATGTCAAATTTGATGTTTAATAAATTATGGAGAGATTTAATTTAAAAATTAACAAATTTATAAGTTCAAATTTTGTGTTGAGACTAAGCCCATTAAGCATGAACTGGGCTGGGCTTGGGTGGATTGCTGACTAGGGGAATTTAGTCCACCTAGGAAAATGTCAAACGTTAATAATTATGGATTAGTCAATAATTAATTAATTGTTAAATATAATTATGATGATATATTGCTTAATCTATATATAATTCATAATTAATAAAGAAATTAGGAGTGGTTGAGGCAAAATATTTACTTATTATTATTCAGCTCAATAGAAAATGGTCATATATTTTATTCTGTTTATAATTGCTATTATTATTATTTAAAAAATAATATGTTTATAAAAAAAACTATAATTATATCTATATGTAGTGGAAGAAAAATGTGAAAAGAATTAAAAAAAAAAACATAATATTCTCGTCAACCCATTTTATTTTATTTAATTTAGTTATCTAATTTTGAAAATATTTTAATTAATTAAAATATATAGCAAATTTCAATTTACCCGATAAGTTGGAGAAGGAAACAAAACATTCAATGTAAAGTTAGGAAAATCTCTCCCTAATAGACGCGTATTAAAATCGTGAGGTTGACGGTGATACGTAACGAGCCAAAATAGACAATATCTACTTGCAATTGATATTACAACCAGCCACCTAGCCGTTTGTTAGTGAGGAAGCTGGACCCCAAGAGTGGATGGTGTAACACATCTAACTCCATTAAATATTGAATTATTTTAAAGAAAATTTGATATTTTTTTTCATTTTTTATCTATTTTATGTCATAAATTCATTATATTTTTTTGGAAACATTTGAATTATTAACTAACATTTTAAAGTAAATATTTAAAAACGATTTGTTTGCCATAATCTAAAAATTTGAGATAAGAACAAAAATTTAATTTTTTTTTTTAATTATGAAAAATAGATTAAAAAAATGTTTTGATAGGGAGAATTTGAGGCTGACGTGGAAAAGACAGGGAAGAACATTGGGTAGAGTTCTCATGTTTTGGCCAATAACGTAGTTATCAAATAAATATAAAGTTTGGATTAGGACCATCCATTTTAAATCAATTTCAACGAACCAAAAGAATGTGTCCCGAAAAATTTATCGATGACTAGTTTAAGTGGAGAGAATGTCACAACCATTGTAATAGAAAAGTAGGTTGTGACCCTCACGTGCAGTCGCCAATGACACAGAAGTGGCATCCAACCGACCACATAAAAATCGAGAAAACACAAATACCATGATGCGATCAAATAGGGCGGTGCAACATCCAACACACTATATAAAGTGCGCACTGAACCCAAGATGAGTCATAGACAGGAAGAAGACAAAATGCAGACAAGAGGGACACCAAACCTAAGACGAGACGTAAGTAAGAAGAAGGCAAAAAAATAGACAAGAGAGACAAACATAGGCTTGATAAAGGCTAAGATATATATACTTGGTCGAAATAACTCATTGATTTGACAAAAACCCAAAACGTAAAAGGTCTGTACAAACAAGATAGGGCGAAAATTTGGGTTTGAGTGCTCTAAACCCTAAACCTACAATGTAACATTTTGGGTCCGTTTGTGGGTTACCCGACCTAACCCTACCTTACTTTTAAGATTATTACAAAAAAAAAAATTAAGAATATTTGTCGTAAGAATTATCACAAAAAGAAAAAATTAAGAATATTTGATACCTGATATTTATGAATTTTTTTTTAAAAAATAGTTATAAAATGAAAAACAATTTGAGCAACTCAACCAAAAAAATAGAGAAAAAAGAGCGTTTGAAATCAATAGTTTGATTTTTATTTATTTATTTTAAAAAAAAATATATATTTAAAAATAATTTTGAATATAAAAAATGAGTAAAACTATCCTTTAATTAGGAGTTAGAATAGAAAGGGGAGAAGCAGAGTCAAAGTGAGGAGACGGAGCCATGCCGCAGCCCTCTCTCTCGGCCACATTGTGAAATAGCGCGCAACTGCCCCCTCCCTGCGGCCACCTTCCAACCGCCATAACCTTCACTTCCGCCTCCACCTCTCTCCCGAATCCCCATTTTCCTCCTTTCCACCATCAAAACCCCTTCGCCTCTTCGATTCAGCCCACAAAATCGAGCATTCTCCACTGCGATTTATCAGAAACCACCACTAATCACTACCTCCACGACTCTATATTCCCGAATCGCATCGCAAATCGCCGTTGACTGTTCCTCACGACGACGCGGTTTTCTTATTACATCGTGCATTCCATAACCCCAGGTTCGTTCACTTTCAGTCTCAGCCGAGCGCGAATCTCAATCTTGTAATGGCGCTCAAAATTTAGAATCCCGACGCGGTAGTTTGACCTTTTCATTTGTCTCTCTCTTCTTTATGAGTATCATTTATTGTATGTATATTTGATTTGGTCTAGAACTAAATACAGACTTATGCTAATCGTTTCAAGATTCTATCTCACCGGAGGTTCGGTTCGAAGCCTCAAATTCATTGAAAGAGAGGTGGAAATCAATTTATACGATTTGATAGTTCTCTGTTAATGGAAAACATATCTTCTGAATTTCAAAATAAACTAAACTTTTATCTTCATCTTCGCTGGGGGTTTCGTAATTGGTTCACTAACCGGTGGGTGAGGGAAAGATTCTCTGCTTCTTCCACCATTATTTTATCACAGACAAGGTTTCGTCCTCTGTCATATTTTAGTCAGCAGTCGGTTGTACTTGTTGTTTTTTTCTTATATTTGTTTTCTTTCAAGGACTGCGTTGGCTGAAATTCGTATAAGCCACAACCATTCGATTATACATGGAATTATTAAGCATTTGTATATAGTTTTAATCTATCCTTAATCTCAAATCAGAGTAGTTGACCATAAATTCATTCATGGGCGAGAAAGTTAAGAAAATACAATTGAACACTGTCAGGTTCACCGCCATTCAATTCCCTACATATCTGATCCCCTGATTTTTTCTCTCTTTCGATTGCTTCCACAAAAGGGTGATGGATCATGGGGGTAGCAACCCAGAAACCAGACAAGGAATTCCACTTAATCGAGCTAGGAGTTTAGGCTCTTCATTTAGGAGAAGCTCTTTTAACTCTTCTTGTGATCAGCCTCCTCTAACTGATCATGATGCTGAAAGTGAGAGCGTTTCAGAAGCGGGGGACATTGGGGATCGTGCTCTTTACAGCAATAGATTCAGTGATAGTGAGCGCTTTAGCTTATCTCTCGATCGTGCTTTGGAGAATGGTGCAATTGCCCCAATTCCAGAGAACCCCTTCGTGCAATCCTATGGATTTCTAGGTCGTGAATCTGCAACAGTTAATACTCCTGCTTCTCTTGTGCCACCTCAAGCTGAGGAAATCGTGTCCACTCTTGCAAACTGCCCCATAGATCATTCTGAAGACACAAAGCAAGTGGGTTTTATTTTGACATCCTTTCCACGACGGCTGAGTTGAATGTTTTTTTTTTTCTTCCTTCCATTTTTCGGATAATTCATGGGTTTTGTTTGGTTTCATGAACAGGAAAGCAAGAGGAAGTTTTCAAGGCTGTTGGAGTATGTAACATGCCTTGTTCATCTTGCTGTTTTTGGAATTCTTGGGGTAACTCAGAAAATTCTACATTTTCAAAAGTTCTAAGTAGTGATATCTTCTAGTGCACTTTTAGGAAAACACCGCCGACCTCTCATTTACAACTGAGAAATCTGCTCTTTACTGACATATGTTGACAGTATTTTATGATTTGAGTGACAGAAGCTTTGGTGTAAAAAAGGTGTTCGAAGTTTAAGCTTTTCAAGAGTTGTATGAAGATTATGATTGTTGAAACCTTTTCTGGTTACAGAGCTATTTTGTGTTGTTGTGCAGGTCTTGACAAGATATGGACTACAGAAGTTGTTTGGCCCAGAGAATGCAAACGTGACGAACAATGAGACGATTCTGTATCCAGATCTGCCTTCCAATATGGTCTGCCTCTCAATTCTTCTTCTACTCATCTGTTACTGATCTTCCTTTTCTCTATCCTTTGGAATATCTAATTCATTTGATCTCAAAAGGGTGAAAGTAAAGCTTATAATCCAATTTGCTCCACCTTTTCTTGTAGTAAATAACTTCTGTATGAATTTTATGGGTAGCCTTGCATGAATAGAGAAGTTTTAGATGCTTACTTTTATGCAGAATCTTTAATAAATTTAGCTAATTTGTTATTATATTAATTTGATAGGTGGGATCATTCTTGATGGGATGGTGGGGTGTTGTTTTCAAAGGAGACATTTCAGGCATTTCAGATTATCTAGCCATTGGATTGACGACCGGTTACTTGGGAAGCCTAACAACATTCAGCGGATGGAATCAGAAAATGCTGGATTTAAGTGTCGACGGCCGCTGGCTCTTTGCCATCCTCGGTTTCTTCATAGGTAAACAATGACTCAAGACACCAGAACTCCAAAAGCACGTTATATGGGTTAAGAATCACGAATCTCCACAATAATATAATATTGTTCACTTTGAGTTTAAGCTCTCGTAACTTTGCTTTGGACTCTCTCAAAAAGCCTCACCAAGGGAGATCGTCTCTCAACTATCCTCACCAATATCAATATCTTACTGATTCTTCTGCAGGCTTGTTTCTGGTGGCCTACTCCATAATCTTCGGAATAGAAACAGCAAAGGGCTTCCGATGGATTATGAAAAGAAAAAACATAACCTGCAGCTGGTGCTTGAAAGTGGACAGCTACGAGCGTGACTTAGCAGCAATGGTGGGGTTTTCACTGATGCTGATTCTATTGTGGAGCTTCAGTGGGAGCCTACTAGAGAGAGATTTCAGCAGCGAGGCGGCGGAACTGTGGGTGGGTTGCCTGGTGGGGCCGGTGGGGGTATGGGCGCGGTGGTTCTTAGCCAGGCTAAATGGGCGGGGAGTGGGGCGTAAAGGGCGGTGGAAATGGGTGCCGATTGGGACCCTGATGGCGAATGTTTTAGCGGCGTGTGTGATGGCGGCGCTGGCGACGGTGAAGAAAGCTGTGAAAACGGAGAAGGTGGAGACGGTAGCGAGTGGGGTACAGTTGGGGCTGTTGGGGTGTTTGAGCACGGTGTCGACGTTCATTGCAGAGTTCAACGCGATGAGGCTGAGCGAGCAGCCTTGGAGAGCCTACGCGTATGCGGCCCTCACGATGGCCATTTCCTTCGCATTAGGCGTATTGATTTACTCTATACCCGTCTGGACCCAGGGATTGAATGAGTAAAATGTTGTAAATCCCCATTTTCATAATTCATATGATATTAGTACTTTATAATTTTTTTATATTTTTTATGCATAATGGTTGTACTATATATTCAAATTAAAGCTACTTAAAAATGTGAGTCAAATCATAGGAGAACTTTGGTTTTGATGGATATTAATTTTATATACTCTGAAAATCATTATGGAATGAATTTTACCATGGTAAAACAAATTTTAAAAAAATTTGATATTATGTACCCATGCTACATAATAGGAGTGTTCTTGCTATTCTAACTTTAGAGGACGCCTCGGATTATATATATATATAGAGGTTTGCTTTGGGCTTTCCAAAAATGCCTCGTACCAATGGACAGAGTATTCTGTGTTTTTCCCTAAATTAGCGGATGTGCCATTTTCATCATCCAACACCTCTCCTCGAACAAAGTGCCCCCTTAATCGAGGCTCGACTCCTTTGGAGTCTTAGTCATTTTTTACTACCTTCGAGGAGGCTTGACTCCGACCCGACTAAGTTTAGGGCATGACTATATATATATATATATATTTGAGTTGTTGGAAGACCAAAAACTCGATTGGGTTAGTAGATTGATATTTTTTGTTGTATCAACTGAAAATAAAGTTATAATTTAACTGAATACAACCATACACTACGTTTGTAAATGATGATGATGATAATGATGTTTGAATTTTATGAGATTTTAGTTGATTTTATGAGATTTTAGTTATTTGATGATGATAATGATGTTTGAATTTTATGAGATTTTAGTTGATTTTATGAGATTTTAGTTATTGATGTAATTAAGTAAAATTTATTAAAATAATTGAAAAAAAAGAACAACCTAGCTCGGTTTGAACACAGGTTCCACTGCGGAAAACCCCTCGCTACACAAGTCGTCAAAGGGTGATTCAGGCTGACAAGCACCATGACTGCATATTCAATCGAGCACATGTGACTGAGAACTCACATTTGAGAATTTCTAGTTTGGTTGGATTATGAATCTATTCGAGGTACTTGTAGAGAATTTCTAGTTAATCAAATTAATTAATAAACAAAATAATTTGAAAATACTAATTAGGCTAAAAATAACAATTAAAACAGAATTTAAAAAAAAAAAAAA